GAAATGGCTTCATAGTGTACCCTGCCCGCTCACCTTGGCAGTGATATGGGAGTAATTAACCCGGGCATATGGGAATCATGACTCGCGGTGAATGTGCACCACCTCTGCAGAGGGTAACAAACTATTATAACAGCCGTGCTCACGGTCACGAGCGGCCCGGAAAACTCACAGAATAATTGGTTACTTATTGTTGTTCATTTATGATGTTCTACGGTGATAATATGATTCAAATGATTCTGATATCTGATCATGTGGGTTTAAATAGGAGCTTAAGCATAACTTGACAATCACTGACGATAAAATCTTGACTTACTAAAAGTGCTAACAGCAGTAAACCAGTGTCATCCTTTTTTAGCCTCATGAACCCCATGTTATCTTGTTGAGTACGGGATGTACTTACGCTTGTTTACTCTCTATATTTGGATAAAAATCCCAGATGGGTAACAGATGACAACAGATATGAGGAGTTCCCTGAGGACTATTAGGCTTGTGGTCAACCAGTTGACCGTCCCTGTGTTGGAGCTTCCGCGAGAGAGCTACTTTTTTTCATTTTCCGCTGTGTTGTGTAAGACTAAGTTATGTTATTAATCGTGATGTAAGAAACACCGTGATGATACTTTATGTAATTTGTCGACTTATGTGTGTGACTGATCTCTGGGCACATATGAGCTTTATGCATTCAATTTTATCCTTAAAATTGGGTGTGGCAACCCATCCGCTTCCCTCCTCATCCATCTACTGTGTGTGCCTCTTAGGAACTCAATTCTTTACCTGCAATGCTCAGCCTGCTCGAGGAACCGATGTTCTAGATTTGGCGTCTTGGTATGTTCTGGATCTCGAGTCTTGGTTGATGAAGATCCTTGTTCTTGCAAAATATCAATAGGCTATACATAGGGTAATAGACGGTGAGGCTTCAGTTTAATAGAGATCACATTCTAATTACATTGTAACAACCTTGCTTGTAAGCTCTACCTGAAGGTCAAATGAATGTGACAGGAGGTAGTAGTATGTTCACAGTATTTTGTCAGACTCCACCTACAAAATAATTATGTAGTTACTAACAATATTCTCTATTGATTTCTGAAAATGCAGAACTACTTGTTCAGTTGTTTTGTTTCATTACTTGTCTGTAGTAGTGAGGATAGAAAGAAAGAGTAGATCAGTAGATAGTTTACCATAGAAGAGAACGGAGTGCTTTGTTCAAATGTTGTCTTACTTGCTTATTGATATTTGTACTGTTTCTAAGCTGAAAATGAGCTAGATTTGTCTAGTCTTATAGTAGCTAAAGAAAATAAATAGCATGTAGCATATCTTCATGTCACCTAAATAGATTTATGTTCAGTTGGTGTATGAACCTAATGACAATTGTACTTACATGCTCATATGTGCTTGGTGGAAGCAGGCATGGCTTGGGCAACGGCATGACATGGAAACCCTGTCAAAGAAAATCAAGAGCAGGTTTGTTCCCTTTCTATTTGATTTATGTGTTATATTCGATCAATCTGGGCCTGTGTTAAGAGCCACATGTTGTTTTGCTATATCTTTAATTCTTTGTTCATATCTTGACTTTGTAGCATTGCAAGGAGTGCTGATTTACTTTGCTATCTATTTAATTCTTTTTTCTGCTATCTGTTTATTTCTTAGCAGATTTACTTTGTACATTCTTTCAGGACAAACCATTTGTAGAATTGCAAAGAGTGCTGATTGACAGTTTGTAGGGAAACAAGCAGGTCGACATCAACATTCAGTAAAGGTGCAGCTCTCAACTTGTAATTAAATTCTGAGCCAATGTATATACAGGTTCCACATTACTGAATTCTGAGCAAATGCATATACATGTCCCACATTACTGAATTCATATGAATACTCCCTGCTATTATGATCTGTACTAGTTAGATTTTATGAGCTCTGTTTCTTCTGCTCTTGTGTAAACTATAGACCTGTAGACTAACTGCACATGGGATCTTTACATTTTCTTAATACATGAGCAATGGACTGCAGATTAGTATAACTTTATTACCAAATACTAATACTGCCCCTTCCTTTTTTTGTGCTTATTCACTACTAATTGCATTTGACTCTTTCTTATGTAGTGCCATTTAATTTGCTTGCAAGAAAATATCAAGTACAGATTTATCATTTTCTTCCCTTAGTTTCAGTAGCAGCATATTATCTTAAATTTCTGTACTTGAAATCAGCTGGTGGCTAGAATTTGGAAAGACAATGACCTGTATGCTTTCAAGATAAAGTTTCGAGCTTACACACCACCGGCTGCACTCTCAACTCTAAACTGTATTCTTTGAAAACAAAGCCACATGAACTGTTAGAATGATTAAATTAGAATGCTACCTACACAAGGTTATAACAAAACTATCTAAGTATATTTCAAACCAACCAGGATGGAACATATTGTTTTACTCATGCTTACATGAGAACAGGGAAGAGAGCTGATTGACATTGGACACTTTACATGTATAAAAAAAGAGAGGAGAACAAAAGGCCTTCAGATTTGTAATGATAGTCATAATGTGATAGCAATGGGATAGCAGATTCACTAATAGATTTACTTGTACCTGTGATGTGTGGCGTTCAAATCTGAATGTCTCTAGTGTTTTTTTATTAAATTATTACCAATCAACATATGTTCAAGGTTCCTGAGTAAACTAGCTAGGACTATAGTTTAAGTTTTTCAGAGATTGTGATTGCTGTAGAGACGTTGGTCTGATTGTGATTAATTTCTGAGGCCACTCTCTTGGAAGTAGAATTAATTTTTTGTACTCTTTGTATAGTACACATATTAATCTGCAGTTATTTTGTTGATGATAATTTCTACTCTCTAGAAAGAAGGAAGTGACATTGCATAGGAAGGTCCAAGATGCAACCTACAGAATCGAAAGGTATGTACTGCCTCCATGATATTTTATCTCTGCAGTTCAGAGCAACTGAAGCCATCAGCTAGACCACTATTGGGCAGCATAAGCAGCAATTTGGCACTTCATAGCTTAGCTCTGTTTTCTGCAGGTTTGAGCAGCAGCATTTTCATCTCATGATGCAGGGCAGTGTGGATTCACATAGGTGAAATGTCATGTTCAAGCTACAAGGTGAAACGGTGAATTAATTCTCATGTAATCATTAGTTAATGATCAGTTCCTTGCTTGTGTGATTATTCAAGCTTTATGTCTGGTCTGTAGCATTTATGTGCTGTTTTTCCTTTGCCAATTGACAGCAGTAGTTGCTCCTGACCACATTGATTTGCATTTTGTTCTGCAGCTTGTTAGTTCTAGAAGCAGGTCTGCAGCAGGGAGATCAGTTCCTTGTTGTATGTATTTTTCAGACTGAAAACCTATAGGGTCACTATCAACTCTACCTTTCTAAATGTAGATGGGTTATTTGTTGGTTCAGTGGTTTACTTGTTGGTTCTAGGTTAGTTAGCTACCTCTGCATTTATCTTTCTGCCAGCTCTGAGACTTGTATGTTTTCCTAGGACACCATTGTTGTAGTTGGTAGAGCAAAAGTAATCGCTATAGGGATTGGTTCTTCCATTGAGATAAAATTATGCACACCCATCAAATCCATTGAGGTAAACTTGCCCGGCAGCACGAGAAGCGGAATGTTTAGGGTTTGTGGCCTGGCATCTAAAGCTAAACTCATGATACCATGTAGGAGGAAAAGAATATGTGGGAATTGGATTCTATTGCCGAGCCTCGTGGGCGGATTATATAGGAGTACATTGCCTAGAGGAAAAGAAACCTCCTTAGAGATAAAGGAAGCCAGGATTATATGATCCTATAGTCTATCATAACTGGAGATATCCCATTATACTAATAACAATGCCTTTAATGAATAGTGTCCCATGTCTCGACTCTAAATTTCAGTAAGAAATCTGACGAGGCTAACAGTGGAGACTAATAACTATACCAAAGCAAGCATGTTGCATCCATTGAGATGGAAGCTACGAAACAACGACATGCCGTCTGCTCTGTTTCTCTGATGCACGAATTTCAGGGCTCAGGCTTTGAGTTTCAAAAGTGTTCGTAGTACAGATTATGTGGAAATTATAGTGTTTGTGGTAGAGATTATGTGGAAATTACTCTGATATGGCAAGTAGGTACGGTGCTCGGTCGATGAATCGGTTTATTAATGATGACGGATTCCATGGAAAGTTACAGTTTGATGTTAAATGGAGAAGCCCAGCAGGCTTATGAAGGCCATGAATAGGGTCACGGGCCAATGAACGAAATGTCCTCTCTACTGGCACAAGCAAGGAAAGGTCAGGGGAAGGAAAAATTTATCGGCCGAAATCTCCTGATATTTCCGATATATCCTTTTTATCCGTAGGTGCCGATAAGAAAATATCTATCTTTTTCGTATAAAATTTATTTAAATTTATTTAAATTTACTTAAATTCAAATTAAATTTTATTTGAATTTGGTCCGATATTTCCGATATATCATGTTTATCCTCTTTATCTGTGACCCCCGATAAATTTTAATTTCTGAAAATGAAAACCTGGGTCAGGGCAACGATACATTAAGTTTGTAGCATCCCCACACGAGCATGTGAAAAATGTATTCGCGAGTGCAAAACAAGCTTCCCCGACTCTCCTATATTCAGCAGTACATTCTGAGATTCTCATGCAACTACGTGTGCTTGGATGCAAGAGGATGGTACAACTGTTTAATCTTGTTTGTGGGGAGAAGAGGATGGAACAAATGTGCCCCCACCTGGCCACCTGCGTGAATAGTCTACTGAAATCTAGATCCACGTCTGGCAGGGGTAGTAGAGCTTCCTTTTGCACATTTGGTTGCTGGAGTGGAATCGAGTGCAGAAAAATGAGACATGTCAGAAACATATTGATAACTGTTAATTTGATCGCTCAAGCACAGGTCGCTAATGAAGCCTATAGTAAATTAATAACCAATGTGAATTAGCATGCGTCCAAACCTGCCAGCATGCTGAATGACATGTTGTGAGGAGAGCACATTACATGGATTAGGATGTTATAACCGAATCCATTCAAGAGACAAGCCAGCACCCTCATCCGATAAGGTTTCCTCCATATCATCATCTTCTTCATTTCCTATGGAGACAAGATCCTGAAAGGGGCAAATGGAAGATATCTATTCATCATCTAGTACTGCCTTGCATTAGAAATGAAGGGTTCAAGTTGAGTATGAAGAACCAAGTAATATATACATGCCCTTCAACAATAACAAGTCTACGAAAATATATATATAATTGGTCCTGAATTTTTTCTTATCAAAACTAAAGGGACAGTATAGCTGAGACTTACACAATAACTGAAACCAACGGAGGGATGGTTGGGATGGACATGCGCCTGGTGGCACAGAACCTCTTCCACTTTCCTCGCAACATCATAGCCGCCTTGTCCATGAAAGCAAACGGTGATACCCTGAAGGGATGGTAGGTGGCCAATGCCCAAGTCCTCAACGATAATTTCACCGTTGCAGAAATCCTCCAGTTGGATACAAAACTCAAAATTTTCAAGCCTGGGCAACGCTCCACGTGGGAAAATTGATGGTAGTACTGATGCGAAATCAGAGAACTCGCAGTTTATCACACATGGGAAGGCATCAGCACTGACCATGAACCTTTCCACGACTTGAATTCCTCCAGTCCCTTTCACCATGAGGATACGAAGAGCTGGCAGCGTCCCGAGGGCATGGATGTCCTCCTGTCGCAGTTGACCCACCTTTATGTACAACCAAGAGAGGAGGAGAAGCGACAAAGGATTAATCCATTTCGGCAACGAAGTGGTTCTAGAAACATAAAGATATCGCAGGTTTCCTAGGGACAACTCCACTGAGCCTGCTTCGAGCTCAATGATCTCTTCGGACTTGATTTGTAGGTATTGGATTCTGTGCAGCTTGCCTAGCGACTCCACCAAAACTTTACCCAGGTTCTCATCCGTTCCACCATCCTCAGCCCCTGCAAGGTAGACCCAGAGTTCCCTTAGCTGGGTCAGATGACCTAGCTCTTCTGCAATGCTTCCAGAATCCACATACGCAGACCCTAGAACTTCCAGGGACGTTAGGTTACTGAACCCTTCTGGCAGCCAGGTACTCTCATCAACATATAGGCACATCAGTTTTCTTAGTCCAACAATACTTGATGGCAGTTCTGGTATATCAGTTCCAAATACATTTAATGTCTGCAAAAACTGTAACTTCCCTATCTCTACTGGAAGCACACCAGGATATCTAGTTTTTGACAGACTTAAATACCTCAGGTGAAATAATTTGCTGACAAACCGTAGACATGGATGGTCCCTAAGATTGCACTTTTCCAGATCCAATACACGCAGAAGATGATAACTTGAAAGGGATGGCACTGAATTTATCGTACCTGGACTGAAGATTGTAAGGGACCTCAATTTTGACATGTTCATTTTAGGCCAAGTAGTACTGTGGAAGGATAACCTGCGAACTTTACTTCGCAAAGAAGCTGAGTTTTGCATGCTATCACCTCTTAAAGTGGTGACAAAATGTTCTTCTCTTGACAAGAAACAAATAAGATCAAGGACCACATCATGCACACGACAAGCAACAGGATTACCATCCCCACCATACAACATGTATGTTGGCTCGATCAGGCTTCGATTTAGAAGCTCATTGAAGTAACTCTCTCCAACCTCAAACAAGCTTTGGTTCCCTTCTCCATACAGCACAAAACCTTCAGCTATCCACCTCCATATCAACCGGTCCTTCCTAATATCAAAATCCTCTGGAAATATACTTAGATATAAAACACAGGTCTTCAAATGGCAAGGTAGATCAATATAGCTAAGAGATAATATCTTTCTCATATTGTCCATATCTTGATTGCTTTCAAATCCAGAACCAATAGAGTCACACAACTCGGACCACACTTTTATATTTCTCAGCTTATTAGCCAATAAACTAGATGTGGTAATGATAGCTAATGGCACACCTCCACATTTCCTTAATATTTTTTCTGAAATTTCAGAAAATCGGTCAGGACACTTGCTCCCAAAGCCAAATATCCTTTCATAGAACAATTGTTTAGAGCTCTCATAAGAAAGAGGTTGCATTTGATAAGAACAACCAACTTTCTCAGCAACAGCATGGATACGGGTAGTAATGATGATTTTACTTCCCAAGTTATTGTCATCCAGAGCATATCTTATTGTGTTCCATGAAGGTTCATCCCATATGTCATCGATGACAATGAAGTACCTATGTGTATTTAATGAAAGACATATAAGTATAGTATTAAGACAAAAAGGACATCAAAGACTGTAAAGCAGTACAGTTCTGTACAAAATTCTAGCTGCAGGTCACCACCAGCTTGTCAAAATGAATGACGGAACTACTGATTTATATGCAAAATGCAAAAATATTCACATAGTAACTGTCTTGGAAAAAAAAAGAAAATATTGACTGATGCTAGGCCGATAGAAGGGTATTCCAAACTTTCCAGTTGGCCCTAAAGCAGATCACTATTTTACTATTAGCAGTACATCAACTCATGCTATTGCACAGGCTATAATCTTATAGAAGACATTAGTATAAAGTTCGTGCTTGTTACCTACACCTAATAAAAAAATACTTATCTATTCACTCTCTCTCTTCATTCATTTTCTAATGCAATACCTATATATATGCTCTGTAACCTCTAGTACTTTTGATGAACTTAATAATTACTCTATATTTTTTACATCCATATCCACAGTCTTTTTCCTTCTATATGGAGGTACTCATTTTGTCTTCAACAAGCATTTGGTTGAAACCCAAGCTTAAGCTATGGTGGCTCTTGTTGTCTCACATATCTCGTGACATCATGAATCTTGATTTTGACTTTCAAATATTGATCTTATTAGTTGCTAAAAGTTTTATCCACATGTTAAGTTGAAATTCTTGTGCCTGTTATATATTTTATTCAGAACTCTCATTGTGTATTTTATTGAAAATAAGGGTTCTAGGTCCTAGACTGCACTCTTAATAACTATGATGCCACAAAAGGTCATTTAAGCCTATACCATGTCGTCCAAGATCTGTGGTGGGGCTTGAATTGAGATCTAGTAGTCGCCAATCATGCTCACTTCAAAATGATATAAATATTTTAGTCTAACAGTCAATGGTTACTGCAAAGGAATTTGAAAAATCAGGAGACCACCGTCACAAAAATGATTTTAGCAAACAAGACGTTTCATTAAAGGAGGCGGGCTAAAAATAGGGCGGTCTCCCAAAATATTCACTTATTTTCAGAGGCGGATGTTCATTTATGGAGATAACAACATCTCTTAAAATCGATTTATAAAAGCGGGCCTCTTAAGGCGTCGTCCTGAAAACGATTCTCATTTTCAGAGGTGGATGCCTTAGGAGGCCTGCCTCAACTAATAGATCTGAAGCCCAACCAGCCCATCTCAAGCCGAGAGTCCCTCAAGTATATAAGTAGATCGGCTAGGGATTCTCAGTCTACTCTCTCCCACCAAACGGCCGCCTCCAGCTCGTCTTCCTCTCTCCCACCCGCCCTAGTGGCGCATTCAGAAGACCCCGGTGGGGCATCATGCGAAGCCCACTCTGCCCCATCTCTCTCTCTATCCCACGCCGGTTCCATGCTCACAAGTAGCAGCGCACGGTGCACCGAAGATAGGCACCGCATGCGAAGACCGGCGGCGTGCGGCGCACACGAAGGCTGTCGTACTGGTGAGTCCCTCGTCTTCTCTCTCCTTCCTCGTCTCGACTCTCTCGCCCCTTGTTCTCTCGCCTTCAACTCTTTCTCTCCCTTTCATATTGGAGGTGGATCCGGCAGTGGCGGTGTCTCTCTAGTGGCGGCGCCTGTCCATTTGAGGATCCGGTGGAGGCAGATCTGGCGGTGGCTCCTTGGTGGTTGCGCTCGGTGCGGCTGCGTCCCACATCTGTGATATCAGAAGTAGATCTGGTGGCGGCGCTTTTTCGGCGGCGGCGTGGCCAAGGCTCAGCAGTAGGGCCCCAGGAACCAGCGAGCTCTGCGGCGGTGCCCCGGGAACCGACGAGCTCTGCGGCGATGGGCCACAATGGGAACCACGATGGGCTCGGTGGGCCACCGCAGCAAACTCACCGTGCTGGATTTTTTTAATTGCATTTACAAAAAGGATGGGTTGTTCGCCTTTGGAAATGCTATATGCCCGTCTCTGAAAATCTTTACTGTGCTAGTGGACCATATCCACCTTTTAGTCAGCACCTCCTCCACTACTCAAGAATTGATGATTTCTCTATCCAAAAATTATTTATAGTAATATTTTGCATAAAAATATAGTGCTTATAATTATATTACCAATACAGATATGTCATAATAATTTAGTCAAAATCTAGAAATTTATCTAAATTAACAACTTATAAACATTATTGCCATGGATATTAAAATAATTTTAGGTGAATTGTCAGTATATATGAGTCATTAAAGGAACATTTTTTAATGATTGCTGAAATCTAGAAATATATATTTATTATGCAGCATGCATTGTACTTAATATGCATGATGGAATAAAATGTAGGTTTAGTTAAGTTAGTTTTTTAGACATCAATAGTTATAGAAGTGGGTAATTTATAAACTTATATAGACGTAATTATGTTTATTTCAATTTTTCTAAAGTAGCACATGCCAGTAATTGGGATGTTACTTTCGAGTGGTATTTTAGTTTCATTGTAACAATGGAAGAAATTAATAATTTAGATGCAAATTTGTAGATTATGTATCATAATGGCAAGGTGGATAATTTAGATGTAAATTATAGTGTTACTTTAGATTATGTTTTATAATAACAAAGGTGGGTAATTTATATGTAGATTTTGTGGGTTACTTTATATATTTTTTTCATAATGTCAGAGGTGGATAATTTTTTTTTAAAACAGGATAGATCTATTAGATTTAATTAACAGTGGTTATTGGACTCTAACAAGTTGAGGTCCTGATCTTTCTGATGTTTGTGAGAGTTACTAGAATTTAACAATTTTTTCCTAGCACGTCTCATATGGATTAACTTTTTGGCTCTGTTAGGGGTTCTGATTAGTAACCGTAAGATTTTGTTCATTGTAAGTCATGTGTCGATATTTTCTCAAACTAATAATCTGAACTATGTTATTTATTGGCATGTTATTTAACACAAGGGATTGTCAACTCCGTACCCAAGTGAAAACTTCCCTCCTACACCCAAATTTTGGGAGAAAAATTCATGTGTATTAGAGGAGTTCCACACCCAGATCGAAGGTGTTGTAAGAAACAGTATAGCTGAGACTTACACAATAACTGAAACCAACGGAGGGATGGTTGGGATGGACATGCGCCTGGTGGCACAGAACCTCTTCCACTTTCCTCGCAACATCATAGCCGCCTTGTCCATGAAAGCAAACGGTGATACCCTGAAGGGATGGTAGGTGGCCAATGCCCAAGTCCTCAACGATAATTTCACCGTTGCAGAAATCCTCCAGTTGGATACAAAACTCAAAATTTTCAAGCCTGGGCAACGCTCCACGTGGGAAAATTGATGGTAGTACTGATGCGAAATCAGAGAACTCGCAGTTTATCACACATGGGAAGGCATCAGCACTGACCATGAACCTTTCCACGACTTGAATTCCTCCAGTCCCTTTCACCATGAGGATACGAAGAGCTGGCAGCGTCCCGAGGGCATGGATGTCCTCCTGTCGCAGTTGACCCACCTTTATGTACAACCAAGAGAGGAGGAGAAGCGATAAAGGATTAATCCATTTCGGCAACGAAGTGGTTCTAGAAACATAAAGATGTCGCAGGTTTCCTAGGGACAACTCCACTGAGCCTGCTTCGAGCTCAATGATCTCTTCGGACTTGATTTGTAGGTATTGGATTCTGTGCAGCTTGCCTAGCGACTCCACCAAAACTTTACCCAGGTTCTCATCCGTTCCACCATCCTCAGCCCCTGCAAGGTAGACCCAGAGTTCCCTTAGCTGGGTCAGATGACCTAGCTCTTCTGCAATGCTTCCAGAATCCACATACGCAGACCCTAGAACTTCCAGGGACGTTAGGTTACTGAACCCTTCTGGCAGCCAGGTACTCTCATCAACATATAGGCACATCAGTTTTCTTAGCCCAACAATACTTGATGGCAGTTCTGGTATATCAGTTCCAAATACATTTAATGTCTGCAAAAACTGTAACTTCCCTATCTCTACTGGAAGCACACCAGGATATCTAGTTTTTGACAGACTTAAATACCTCAGGTGAAATAATTTGCTGACAAACCGTAGACATGGATGGTCCCTAAGATTGCACTTTTCCAGATCCAATACACGCAGAAGATGATAACTTGAAAGGGATGGCACTGAATTTATCGTACCTGGACTGAAGATTGTAAGGGACCTCAATTTTGACATGTTCATTTTAGGCCAAGTAGTACTGTGGAAGGATAACCTGCGAACTTTACTTCGCAAAGAAGCTGAGTTTTGCATGCTATCACCTCTTAAAGTGGTGACAAAATGTTCTTCTCTTGACAAGAAACAAATAAGATCAAGGACCACATCATGCACACGACAAGCAACAGGATTACCATCCCCACCATACAACATGTATATTGGCTCGATCAGGCTTCGATTTAGAAGCTCATTGAAGTAACTCTCTCCAACCTCAAACAAGCTTTGGTTCCCTTCTCCATACAGCACAAAACCTTCAGCTATCCACCTCCATATCAACCGGTCCTTCCTAATATCAAAATCCTCTGGAAATATACTTAGATATAAAACACAGGTCTTCAAATGGCAAGGTAGATCAATATAGCTAAGAGATAATATCTTTCTCATATTGTCCATATCTTGATTGCTTTCAAATCCAGAACCAATAGAGTCACACAACTCGGACCACACTTTTATATTTCTCAGCTTATTAGCCAATAAACTAGATGTGGTAATGATAGCTAATGGCACACCTCCACATTTCCTTAATATTTTTTCTGAAATTTCAGAAAATCGGTCAGGACACTTGCTCCCAAAGCCAAATATCCTTTCATAGAACAATTGTTTAGAGCTCTCATAAGAAAGAGGTTGCATTTTATAAGAACAACCAACTTTCTCAGCAACAGCATGGATACGGGTAGTAATGATGATTTTACTTCCCAAGTTATTGTCATCCAGAGCATATCTTATTGTGTTCCATGAAGGTTCATCCCATATGTCATCGATGACAATGAAGTACCTATGTGTATTTAATGAAAGACATATAAGTATAGTATTAAGACAAAAAGGACATCAAAGACTGTAAAGCAGTACAGTTCTGTACAAAATTCTAGCTGCAGGTCACCACCAGCTTGTCAAAATGAATGACGGAACTACTGATTTATATGCAAAATGCAAAAATATTCACATAGTAACTGTCTTGGAAAAAAAAAGAAAATATTGACTGATGCTAGGCCGATAGAAGGGTATTCCAAACTTTCCAGTTGGCCCTAAAGCAGATCACTATTTTACTATTAGCAGTACATCAACTCATGCTATTGCACAGGCTATAATCTTATAGAAGACATTAGTATAAAGTTCGTGCTTGTTACCTACACCTAATAAAAAAATACTTATCTATTCACTCTCTCTCTCTTCATTCATTTTCTAATGCAATACCTATATATATGCTCTGTAACCTCTAGTACTTTTGATGAACTTAATAATTACTCTATATTTTTTACATCCATATCCACAGTCTTTTTCCTTCTATATGGAGGTACTCATTTTGTCTTCAACAAGCATTTGGTTGAAACCCAAGCTTAAGCTATGGTGGCTCTTGTTGTCTCACATATCTCGTGACATCATGAATCTTGATTTTGACTTTCAAATATTGATCTTATTAGTTGCTAAAAGTTTTATCCACATGTTAAGTTGAAATTCTTGTGCCTGTTATATATTTTATTCAGAACTCTCATTGTGTATTTTATTGAAAATAAGGGTTCTAGGTCCTAGACTGCACTCTTAATAACTATGATGCCACAAAAGGTCATTTAAGCCTATACCATGTCGTCCAAGATCTGTGGTGGGGCTTGAATTGAGATCTAGTAGTCGCCAATCATGCTCACTTCAAAATGATATAAATATTTTAGTCTAACAGTCAATGGTTACTGCAAAGGAATTTGAAAAATCAGGAGACCACCGTCACAAAAATGATTTTAGCAAACAAGACGTTTCATTAAAGGAGGCGGGCTAAAAATAGGGCGGTCTCCCAAAATATTCACTTATTTTCAGAGGCGGATGTTCATTTATGGAGATAACAACATCTCTTAAAATCGATTTATAAAAGCGGGCCTCTTAAGGCGTCTGTCCCTGAAAACGATTCTCATTTTCAGAGGTGGATGCCTTAGGAGGCCTGCCTCAACTAATAGATCTGAAGCCCAACCAGCCCATCTCGAAGCCGAGAGTCCCTCAAGTATATAAGTAGATCGGCTAGGGATTCTCAGTCTACTCTCTCCCACCAAACGGCCGCCTCCAGCTCGTCTTCCTCTCTCCCACCCGCCCTAGTGGCGCATTCAGAAGACCCCGGTGGGGCATCATGCGAAGCCCACTCTGCCCCATCTCTCTCTCTATCCCACGCCGGTTCCATGCTCACAAGTAGCAGCGCACGGTGCACCGAAGATAGGCACCGCATGCGAAGACCGGCGGCGTGCGGCGCACACGAAGGCTGTCGTACTGGTGAGTCCCTCGTCTTCTCTCTCCTTCCTCGTCTCGACTCTCTCGCCCTTGTTCTCTCGCCTTCAACTCTTTCTCTCCCTTTCATATTGGAGGTGGATCCGGCAGTGGCGGTGTCTCTCTAGTGGCGGCGCCTGTCCATTTGAGGATCCGGTGGAGGCAGATCTGGCGGTGGCTCCTTGGTGGTTGCGCTCGGTGCGGCTGCGTCCCACATCTGTGATATCAGAAGTAGATCTGGTGGCGGCGCTTTTTCGGCGGCGGCGTGGCCAAGGCTCAGCAGTAGGGCCCCAGGAACCAGCGAGCTCTGCGGCGGTGCCCCGGGAACCGACGAGCTCTGCGGCGATGGGCCACAATGGGAACCACGATGGGCTCGGTGGGCCACCGCAGCAAACTCACCGTGCTGGATTTTTTTAATTGCATTTACAAAAAGGATGGGTTGTTCGCCTTTGGAAATGCTATATGCCCGTCTCTGAAAATCTTTACTGTGCTAGTGGACCATATCCACCTTTTAGTCAGCACCTCCTCCACTACTCAAGAATTGATGATTTCTCTATCCAAAAATTATTTATAGTAATATTTTGCATAAAAATATAGTGCTTATAATTATATTACCAATACAGATATGTCATAATAATTTAGTCAAAATCTAGAAATTTATCTAAATTAACAACTTATAAACATTATTGCCATGGATATTAAAATAATTTTAGGTGAATTGTCAGTATATATGAGTCATTAAAGGAACATTTTTTAATGATTGCTGAAATCTAGAAATATATATTTATTATGCAGCATGCATTGTACTTAATATGCATGATGGAATAAAATGTAGGTTTAGTTAAGTTAGTTTTTTAGACATCAATAGTTATAGAAGTGGGTAATTTATAAACTTATATAGACGTAATTATGTTTATTTCAATTTTTCTAAAGTAGCACATGCCAGTAATTGGGATGTTACTTCGAGTGGTATTTTAGTTTAATTGTAACAATGGAAGAAATTAATAATTTAGATGCAAATTTGTAGATTATGTATCATAATGGCAAGGTGGATAATTTAGATGTAAATTATAGTGTTACTTTAGATTATGTTTTATAATAACAAAGGTGGGTAATTTATATGTAGATTTTGTGGGTTACTTTATATATTTTTTTCATAATGTCAGAGGTGGATAATTTTTTTTTAAAACAGGATAGATCTATTAGATTTAATTAACAGTGGTTATTGGACTCTAACAAGTTGAGGTCCTGATCTTTCTGATGTTTGTGAGAGTTACTAGAATTTAACAATTTTTTCCTAGCACGTCTCATATGGATTAACTTTTTGGCTCTGTTAGGGGTTCTGATTAGTAACCGTAAGATTTTGTTCATTGTAAGTCATGTGTCGATATTTTCTCAAACTAATAATCTGAACTATGTTATTTATTGGCATGTTATTTAACACAAGGGATTGTCAACTCCGTACCCAAGTGAAAACTTCCCTCCTACACCCAAATTTTGGGAGAAAAAAATTCATGTGTATTAGAGGAGTTCCACACCCAGATCGAAGGTGTTGTAAGAATCGGGTGAAATATTCATTCTCCACACGTGAATTTTTTGTTACACAAATTCTACTTAGAAGTTGCAACAAAATAATCACCATAACTCTAGTGCAAGTTGATTGTAAATCCAGTATAAGTTGACAGTAACTAAAACTGGGGTGCGAGAGAGAAAATTTTCACCCCAATCAGGAAGAAGAAAAGGAATGAAAAGGAAAGCGAAAAATTTGGGTATAGGAGGGAAGTTTTTCATCCAAATCTTAGTTTTATTCCCTTCCATGCGTACTATTTAGGAAGAACGAAGGGAAATAAAAGCAAAACAAAAATTTGGATATGGGGAGAGAAGATTTTCACCTGAATCATAGTTTTGTTCCCTTCCTTGTATGCTCTCTGGGATGAAGAAAGGGAAAGAAAAGGAAACCAAAAAATTTCTGGTGGGGAAGAAGATTTTCACCAGGGCACCATATAGCGAAACTAGGGGCGGACCTTAGTGATGGACAAAGGTGGCCATGCCCCCCCCTAATCTATGAATATTATTGATGAAACACTACCACAGAGTATCAAAAACATGGCTACGACTAGGCAGTGCAGTGTCTGTTTCATTATCAATGACTTTCTACTTGAGGCGTTTACACTATCTGTGAACCGGAAATTAATGTCTTGATAAGAAAGAACAATCCAATTATTACATTCCTTCTAAAAATGCATTTTGGCAAACAGAAACTTACATATGTGGCAAACAGAACTAACATATGCGTGGAAACTAAATAGTGAATAACATAGCAACAATATTTAAATTGCAGTTTTTTCAGAGAGAGAGAGAGAGAGAGAGAGAGAGAGAGACCCTTTTAAAACAGTATCTGCCACTTTCTGATAAAATAAGAGAGTCTAAGCAAACAGTTGTTGGCGTAAGAATAAGCTAAGTGATGCACGCCCATACCTTTTGCTCTCGAGGAATCCACGGACCGAATTGATGAGCTGCGTTTCGTCCAATATCATCATATCAGAATCAGTGTGCCCCAAATTAATCAGAATGTCTCTGAAGACTTTCTTCAGGTCGGGGATTCGCCCCACTGAAACAAATGCTGCACAACAGAAGTTGGCTTTAAACTCGTCAAACACTCGCTTGGCCAGAGTGGTCTTGCCCAGCCCTCCAAAACCAACAACACATACTATCTTCATCTTCTTGTTGGACATGTCATCGTCGCTTACAGATAACATATTGATGAGCGTAGACTTTGGCATATTCATGCCAACGAGCTGTGACCTTTTTGTGAACAGAGCCGACAAACGAGGATCAATACTTGTTGCAGCAGCAGGCTTGGCCAGGACATCATCGACCCTGTACCTCGCACGACGCTCGGCCACCTCCTGGAGTTGCTTTTTGATTTCCTCGATTGCGCCAGCGATGTCGTGGCGAGCCTTGACCTTGCTTAAGCTGAACATCAGCTGGCCAATTTTCTCCGTGAGGCGTTTGACCAAGTTTCTATCTGCTGGCTGAAGGTGAGGGCGGCCGTCAACTTGAATGAGAAAGGTGTCGAGGATATCCTCCATGTCGTAGGATGCCTCCCTGACGTCTCGTGCCCAGACCTTGTCTTGTTCGTCAAGCTGGTCCCATGGCACTGCCGCCACCTTGCGGAGGGCGGCGTGCATGCTCTCGAGCTCCCGGGAGAGGGACTGGACTTGCACCCTGACGCTCTGCTGCAGCTTGTACTCCTCCTTCAGGAGATCCAGCAGTTTGGAGGGGAGAATGCCCAACGCACCCGTGACCAGGTCCATGCTAGCTCACGGCTGCCCAAGATGAATCACTCAAGCTATTTGGTTGCTTGCTGGGACGGGCGGCAGAGAGAAGAGATCAGGAAAAGGAATTGGGTTTATGGGGATGCGTAGACGCAAGCAGAGCACGCTATATATAAAAATGAAGAGCGTAGACTCTTGGACAGGCTCAGGCACGGTGATGAATGATGGGTGTAACTAGCCGCTATTAGCCGCTATAGCCCGATTTAGCCCGCTATTAGCTGTTTGAGGAGGGAGGCCGCTAAATAGCTTAGCCCGTTATTTAAAACACTGGGCAAGAGTAGATGAACAAGAGATAAATTTTAACATCAACCCATGGTAAAGATGGTAACATATTTTATTTTTGTAAAAAACTGTATTTATCTTTTTTATAGGACATCTCATGAGTATTATCATGTAGAATCCTTTGGGGTCTCCAATTACCAATAGTAAGATATTACAAAAAGCATCTGTCTTAAGCAGCATCCCCTTGTGTGGAACAAAGTATATATGACTGCATTTTTTGATCATCGACAAACCTTATATGCCCAAATTCGTAGGAACGCTGGGATGACTAAAGACCTATTTGTTTCGGCTTTTGCTAGTTAGAAACCAAAAACTAAAACAAATAGTCTAGCTGTTGAATTGCCTTTTGAAAAGTTGAAAAGCAGTTTATGATGAAATGAACCAAAAGCTAAGAAACTGGTTGAGAGATATTTTTCTGGCTCTTGATATGGTGAGAAGTTAAAGATTTATCAAAAAATTCAATAGCAAAAAAACAAGCAGCCAAAAGTTAGAAAAAAGTAGCTTCTCAATCATAAGCCCCAACAAACAGATCCTATGTGGTAGTACATTGGGTTTCCTTGATCCAAAAGCTTCATAAGAAAGGTTTTTTGCATTCTCATCGCCTACTAATGTATGAATGACGACTTGGTTCATATCAAATTTAATTTGGCCATGTGTCTCAACAACACCAAAGCAGAGAGCAAGGAGTGGCTTAGATAAGGTAAAGCAGACGATTCACACTGAGTCAGGATATCTTGGTCGCATGCTAAGGATAAAGCTAGCTGGCTAACATGAATTTCCTTAGTGTAGAAGGAAAGAATCTATAGAAAGTTAAAGAGTAGCTAGTAGTCAGCAAAAGAGAGAGATAAGGACTCGAGTGGGGGCATTATAAAGCATGAATAATTGTACCAGTTCACTCGTGGACAGTGTGGCCAAGCAGAGATTTATTTGCAAATCTTTCAAGGGAATGGACATGGACGCGTATGCTTTTTTCCTGATAGATCGCACTAAAGCTGGGTCGTGATCCAGCTGATGGACAGAGCACCCAACCTGCCGGGCACTATGTAAATGTTTAATGTTCTTATCTTGTGGTTGTTTCTTTGGTTTCCATGTACGTTCGGCACAACAAACGTTCCAGAACCCAGGCTTTGCTCACCTTATTTTTAGGCCGAAAAAACTTTTCCGTGGCCCCAACAGTAAGCTAGTAGGTTACCTCGATCCACAGCTGGTGGCACAAGGGCACATATAGTGTGTGCATGCATGTTGCTTCATTAATTACATGCTTCGTCTGACCGAACCGGATCAAAACGCAGGCTCTCGACCAATTCAAGGCCCACAAGAACAGAGCAGCTTACTCGAGCACTCACTATTGTCGCTGCTGCTCGCTCGACCGTTGTATTCATCTCATTTTCCACAGGGAGAAACACTACTATCGTTGTTGGGTCTTTGGAGGCGCCGGCACACTGCTCCATAACTTTGAATATGGTAGGCAAATGAGCTAAGCACTACGTCATCAGAGCATCACTGCTGGCTATGCTGAAACCGGAAGTGATTGTTATTCATGATCTGTTCGTAAGCCTAGGATCAAAAAAAAATCAAAGGAAGCAATTCACCCAGCAGTGAAGGCATGTATCACTGCCGATTTAAATCACCAACCAATAGTGATATATATCACTGCCAGGTCAGGCTATAAACGGGCAGTGGTAAGTGTCATATCACTACCAGCTCAGGTTGCGACCCGGCATTGATATATCACTTACGGGTCAAGCCATTGACTTACATTGGAAGTGAGTCAAGAGGCTGATTACCTCGGGCACATGGGTAACACGATTCATGGGCAAAGTTGTACAAACTATGCAGAGTTATTTAAACTGATATATCAGCCACGCTCTCAGTCATGAGTGGCTTGGATCCTTTTTGAGTTACATGGTTCTATGGATGGTTTGGGCTATGCTTAATTTTGATGATAATTATACTTTTCACGTGGGAGCTTTAAGCATTACCTAGCACAAAATATTATCGGCAATGCAGAGGTAAAAACAAGGAAACATAATATGTGTATCGCATCTAGCAATTTTTTTCTTTGATGTTTGAACTTTATATGAATCCAAGTTAATTCTTATCAATTAGTGGCATTCTATGTTTAATAACACAAGTGAAGCTGTCAGAAGGCAGGGAAGAGAATATGACTAAATGTAATGTTAATGATTTTACCTACATATTTTATCAACATTCTTTGATTATATCCTTCTTTAATTGATTTGAGGGAACAGCAGGGGAGCCCCCTCCCTAAATTTTTTCATATACATAATGGTAATATTTACATTGGTACAAGGCTTGCAAAGCCCAAAAAAAAAGGCAAAAAACGCTATTGGAGATTCTCTCGCCACACAATAAAGGGTGTTGCAACACTTTGCTTAGCCTTGATACACACCAAGCCAAGCTCCTCCTTGAAAGCTAGAGACCAGGAGGCCAGAGTGCTAGCCCTGTTATCAAAGATTACTCCATTTCTAGCAGTCCAAATGGTCCAGCAAGCTGTGATGAAGATCTCTCTGAAGATGTGGCTATCAAAATCATTTCTTGCTTGAGCAATCATATCTAGAGGTTGGAGATTCAAATTCCAATGAATAGACAAAGAGTGCCAACAGTCTCTGCTGAATTGGCATTCAAAAAACAAGTGAAATTTGGTTTCCTCTATACAGGAGTTGCATAAGACACGGGAATAGTCATCCAGAAATTTGTTCTTCCTTTTCAAAAGATTTCTGGAGTTCAATCTGTCTCTAATGGGGAGCCAGAGAAAGAATTTGTGTTTACCCAAACAGCCTGATTTCCAGATCCAAGAAAAGAGAGGAGAGGCTTCCACTGTTCCCTGAAGTAAAGAGTATGCCTTTTAGAACTCTAAGGTGTCCAGCACCAACAGTAGGACCAAGAATCTGACATAGTATGGTTCCAGTCCAGGCTGCTGATCATATCTTGGATTTCTGAGAGCTGGGACGAAGCTTGACTTGAAAGGGGTAAGCTGAGGACTCTATTGTCTTCACCTTCTCTGAAGAATTTCATTGAACAGTTTAATTTTCTGGCAAAGGAGAAGAGTTGAGGGTATTTGTTCTCTAAGATGTGACCAGACCAATTGTCTTTCAAAAATGACACTGAAGAACCTGAATTGGGGATGCATGAGGCCATGGTTTTGAATTTTCCAAAGAGTTTAAGGATGTCTTTCCACCAAAAGGATCCAATAGGGCTCCTAGCATGAGGAGGAGTATCTGAATTTGAGTAGAGCTTGGACCATGTTAGCTGGACCCAGGGAATGTCAGCAATGTTATAAAATTTATCCAAGAACTTGAGTAGCAGAGCAGTGTTTTGATTTTTCATGTTTATAATTCCAAGTCCTCCCTGTTCCTTTGATCTGCATGCTGGTTCCCAGGCAGCAAGGCAGCTCCCCTTCCTGTTAATATCACCACTACTCCAAAGGCAATGTTTTCGATGTCTATCAATTTGTTTGATGACTGAAGGAGGAATTATAAGACTGCACATGAAGAAAGTTGGCAATGCAGAGAAAACTGAATTGACTAGGGTGAGCCTTCCATGGTACGAGAGGAACTTGCATATGCCATTCAGTCTCTTTTCCATTTTTGTTATCAAGGGGTTAAAGTCTTGAACAGAAGGTCTTGTTGTCTTTAAGTGTAGCCCCATGTAAGTAAAAGGCATGCTACCCATAACACAGCCAAAAGTGTTAGCAAGGTGGAGAGTTTTTTCAGCTGAAACATTTATAGGCACTAGGAAGCTCTTATGGAAGTTGACATGAAGGCCTGAAGAATCTGAGAATGTCCTTAGCAAGCCTTTAAGTTTAAAGAGCTATAAAGCATTTGCAGGTAGGATCAGCAAAGTGTCATCAGCATATTGCACTATTGGGTAACCATCTACAAATTTTTTTGAAAGTGGGTGTCTTAGGATTCCAAGATGCTATGCTTTATTCACAATAGACTATAGAAGATCTGCACCTAAGACAAAGAGCAGGGGTGAGAGTGGATCACCTTGTCTCACTCCTCTTTTACAAGACAAAGGTTTTCCAGGTATTCCATTCAGTAACACTGAGGAGGTGCCTAAAACCAAGATGGCATTTACCCAACTAAGCCATTTCTCTGGGAAGCCTTTATGTTTCAAGACCTCTAATATAAACTGATGCTCAATCTTGTCAAAGGCCTTTTTAAAGTCTAGATTAAGTATGACTATTTCTTTTTTGGAATGGTGACAAATGTGAAGAAACTGGAAGGCCCAAGCTAAGCAATCCTAGATGGTTCTGCCCTTTAAAAACCCATATTGGTTTGTGTGGATGAGTTGAAGGATAACTGCCTGAAGCCTGTTGGAAAGCAGCTTAGTGATGCTCTTGAGAGAGTAATTTAGCAAGGATATGGGCATGTAATCATCCACTGTTTCAGGGTTGCTTCTTTTTGGGATAAGAGCTATGAGGGAGGAGCTTATACTGGTTAAATCAATAGAGTTCTCACTGAAATCTTTGAAGGGCCTGAGGAAATCTTGCTTAATTATGGCCAACAATTCTTGATGAAAAATCCATTAAATCCATCAGGGCCTGGAGCATGACTTTCCGGAATGGAGGATATGACAGATTCTATTTTAGATTCACTAAAATCTTCAGCCAAGAAGTCCAAATGGTGGTTTTGCAGAAAAAAGCCAAGGTTATAAGAAATACCATTGTA